TAGTGATATTTTCTTCCAGGATCTTTACTTTATAAGTTTTGTGTGTAAGTGACTTCATTATCTTGAAAAATAATCCGTTCTTTTTAAAAATGAAATCAAATAATTACTTCTGCTTATTATCATGAATTTTAGGCGTGATAAATTTTATGCCCAAGTGACCTCATTATTTTGAAAAATAATCTTTTTAATAAAATTATAATATTAGAAATTTTAAATGCTGTAAATTATTAGAAATAAATTTATTTATTTTTCTTGTCTATTGTTAAAAAATTTTAAATACTGTAAAATTATTTTTCTTTCTACTGTTTTTGAATATTTAGATATTGTAAACTTCAGGTGCAAATCACTGTCTTATTATTTGAAAACTGATATTTTTGCAATTGATTATAGCATTGTTTGTGAAATATTGATTTGCGAATTGACATTCCAAAAATTGTGATGATTCCATATTTTTGAATTTCTATAAGAATTTTTCTATAGATATTAGATTGGCAATTATGCTAGAATGTCTTTACGAATTGCTACCTTTTTAAATTTGAGCCCAAAATATTTGAATGGTTATTTTTGAAATGTTATTGAAAGTGACTGTTATTAATGATTTCAATGAAATTCATATTAATGATTTCAGTGATATGTTGAGTACATGATATTGCTGCGCTTTCGAATGTTTAAAGAGATTTAGAAATATTTTAAGTATGCAAGTGGACTCATCCGGTTCGCTGGTGAGGTATAAGTGGACCTATCCGGGACACCGGTAGGGATTAAGTGGACTCATCCAGTACGCCGGTGAAGTATGAGTGGACCTGCAGGGATTTAGTGAACCTATCTAGGACACCGATAGGGATTAAGTGGACCCATCAAGATGCTGATGGGGTATATAAGTGACCTACTTGGGACGCCAGTAGGGTATTTTGTGAAATCCTTTGAATTATACGTTGCCGTTAAAATGTTATATGCATTTCAATTATTCGGATTATACTTAATTGTGCATTTTTGGAAGTGAAACTGTTAATGCATTTCTGTTAATAGATATCCTTATTGGAAATATTGATATCTTTCAACCATGATTATTTTTAGGATTATGATGATCACTTACTGAATAGCCAAACGCATCAAACTATGGTAAACATTTTTCAGGATAACTGGGGTTTCAATTGAGTGCTCGTCAGGATCAACTTTGGGAAGATATTGCAGTTGTGCTTGAACTTTCTTTTGTTACTTTTTAAAAATTCGTCATTGTAAATTTGTCCTAAAAAGAGATGTATATATATGTTTTGACTGTTACATATCAAGAATATCAGTATTGTAAATATATATATATATTCTAAACTTCAAGATAAAGAGAGTTATGAAAGGTGGATTTATTACTTTTGTAGTCTATTTTTTAAAAAAAGTTACTTTTGTAGAGGCAATTTTGGAAATATTACTATAAGACAAAGATACTTTTATCATCTCCATAAGGGGTAAAATTGAAATATTAACTAAAAAACAAAGGCAGAACAATAACTTCTAAAATGCCATAATACTTTTGTGAAAATTTCAAATTTGTCGTTGCTTAATAGTAAAATTACCTATTAAAATAATTTTTTAATAACAAAATAATAATTGTTTTGATAAAACTCATCACAACCTCTTCTAACTTGAACCTTTGTATTTTGAGAAGTTATATATATATATATATATAAAATGATGACATAAGTCCATTAACCTACAATGGGCCCAATGGCCAAATTCAATATGGATTGATCTGACGATCATAACTTCATTTCGTATTTTAATTTTAAGTTTTTCATACAAGTCTAAATCACATGAAATTTTAAACGTATATTCATGATGACACATCTAATAAAAATATTAAAAAAATAATTCATAAAATATAAATTGATCAAAATACTCCTAAAATATTTCCAAGCTATATTCGTCAATTTATTTTGCACGAAATATTTTCTTGATATTTTTATTGGATTCTTCTATTATAAAAAAAAACACATGCCCAAAATTTCAATAATTTAGATCTATAGAAAAAAAATTAAAATTAAAATACAAAATACACATATAAATATTGAATCTACTCATATTAAATATGGGCCATATATATGTATATATCTATAAATATAAGATGCGGCTAGCATGCAGCCCGCCCACATAATGTAAAAATGCAAGCTTGACAATAAATATATTTTAAAAATATAATTTGCTCTTAATTTTTAAATAATATATAATCTCTAACATGGAGATCATGAATATGAAAAAAATAAAAATAACATAATAATAACAATAATTAAATTAAAAAAATATTTAAACCATTAAGCACAATTGTTTTCAAATGGACCACCTATTTGCATGAATGCTTTACCATGGTAGAAATATAATACCGCTGGCATGAAACAAATTGTTCATATATAAATAGCCTAGATGAGAATGCGAAAAAGGAAGAGAATAAATAGTTTATATACATATATTTATATAAGAAATGATCCTATAGAACCTTCCCCCACCGATTTATATAAAACCTTAAAAGATCACCATTAAATTTAACACAGATCTATAGAAAAATCGAATCCCACCTATGAAATGACTTTTGTAAAAATCTATGCCAAACTTAAATGATGATCCTTTAGTGTCCTACACACATGCATTACTATATATATATATATATAAGGGAGTTTCCATACCGAATATAAGGCAACCAATAGGATTAGAGAGTGGAAACAAACTTCCCGAAAAAAATAATAACTAACATGAAAAGGAGGAAAGGGACTTTAATTTACTCCCGAACTCAAAACGGAGCAAAACAGTATCACCCCAATTAGTAAGCTTTTATGTGAAGGAGAGAAGGCCAATTTCCAAAATTAAAATCTAATAGGGCCAAACTCTTAAAAAAGATTATGCAAGTTTTTTTAAAAAAAAAAAAACAGGCCCTTTTTTGGCCCATTCTTCATTTTCAGTTTTTTTACTCTTGATGACTGAGCTGTACTCGTTCTTTTTAAAAAAAAACATTCCTCATTCTTCATTTTCAAGTCCTTTTACCCATTCTTCATTTTCCAGTTTTTCCCCTCCATGAGTAACGCTCAATTCGACCAATCCAGACTTGTAGAGTGCGTGGAGAACGTGATCCTGATTTTTTAACACCGGTCCAATCCAAACAAAACATTGCTTCGTCTCGTTTCTTGATATCCTGTCCCCTAACGTTACCCAGAAAAGAGCAAAAAGATAACAGATAACAGATAATCGCATACCAACCAACAAATTCAAAATTCCTCCTACTCAATAAAAGGCAAACCATTTGCTGAATCCTCTTAAACTCTGATATGATGCATCATCATTGAACATATATATATTCAAAACTCCAAGGCGCACCCAAAAGGGAGACCCAAACAATAAAAAGACTGAAAAGAACACATATACCTCTCTCTAGATGGAGAAATCCCTCTTCACAAAGTGCTCTAGCCATTTCCATATGAGACATGAAGCCGACCAAAGAAACAAGAAAGCAAACATGTCGAAAACAAAGATACATGCCCACTCACTCAAAAGCATCATCATCGTCATCCGGAAGAGGCTGTGCTGCAGCTGCAGCGAGCTCTGCCTCATGCCTGAAATAACAACAATGATCATGTTTAAATCACCACACGTGCATGTGAGCATATACTATTCATACATACATCTACAGAGGGCCATGTCGTTGACAGGGCGCATTCACTAGATGAATCAAATTTTTTGGGGGGCTGGGGAAGGAGCTACTTTATCATATCTCATTGATTGGGCTACTAAAAATCTTGCAAAATGCATAAAATATATAGGGAAAAGTTTATATAGAGCCAAAGCTCTAAACAATCAAATTTGAACCTACCTCATAAATTTCACTAGAATTGGTTGTTTTGATGCCCAAATATCTTCAAATTGATCATATCTCAACATCAAGACGCATAGACATAAGAAAAAATATATTTTAAGTTTTGGAAATAGTGTATTTTATATCATATTTTTGGACTGTCATTTTTCAAGTTTTCACGATTGCATTTCGTATTTTAATTTTAATTTTTTTTATTAGAAACCCCTAATCACTTGAAAAATTTGATCATGTATTCTTTAAAAATAAGAGAATCCAATAAAAATATCAAAAAAATATTCGTAAAAATATAAATTAACTAAAGTACCCCTAAAACAGTTCAAAGGTATTTGATCAATTTATATTTTACGAATTATTTTTTTAATATTTTTATTAAGTGTATATTGATGAGAATAATACACACGAAATTCCACATGATTTGAATTTGTAGAAAAAAACTTAAAATTCAAATACAAAATGTAAATGTATATTTATATATATATATATATATATATAAAAGGCAATGAATTCATACAACCATTGTATACGATGCAACCACCTTAAAAAACCATCTTATGGCCATTTGTTTGATCCAAATTTTGAAATATACACTCTTTTCATTCTAATGAACAATCACAAAAAAAAAAAAAATTGAAAACACAACTTATAAAGTATTTTTTTAGCCCAATTAACATAAGCCGTTCATTTTGTTGAGAAGCTTAGATCTAAGCCTTAGAAGGATTTTTTCATTTCCAATTTTTTTGGATGGCTTTATTATCATTAGATGAACAATGTTAAAAAAGACAAAAATAACTTTGAATTTATAAAGGTTAAGATCTTGAAATCCACAAAATGAATGGTCTAGATTTGTTTTGGGAAAGGACTCATTTTGACCATATCTAGGGTTCAAATTGAACTTTTTCTTTTGGGGGGATTGATTATTGAGATGATGAGACTGTGTGCGCAAAATTTGGGGTCATACAAATACGACAAACATGGTTTTCTAATAGTGTTGTTGCATTGGATCATTGCTCATTATATATAGAGAGAGAGAGAGAAATAATCCTATATATAAGACCCTCCCCCACCCATGGGTAGGACCCTAAAGGATCACCATTAAATTAAACACGGATCTATCGAAAAATCAAGTCTCATATCCATGTGATAACTTTTCTAAAGATCCGTGCCAACTTTAATGGTGATTCTTTGGTAGGTCCTAGGTCCTACACACATGGTGGGATAGGGTCCTATAAGATCATTACTCATATATATATATATATATATATATGAAAAAGCTTTTGTGAACCAATGGGCTCACAAAAATAAATGAACCCAATGGCCCAAATTGAATCTGGGCCGATCTAACGATCATGGATGCCTAATAATGTTTAAATTTTAATTTTTTTTCTACAAATCCAAATCACTTGAAATTTTAGACATGTATTGATAAAAAAAAAAGGGTGAATATACGAAAAATATTAAAAAAATATTTTACATAGAAAAAAATGACCAAAATACCCCCCAAAATTTTTGGGGGTATTTTGGTCAATTTTTATTTTACGGATTT